GGTGTGCTCGTTCAAAACAGTTGCGTTCGATCCTTCGCTGGCTGTGCTGATTTAAATCTAGCGGTTCTGTTGTGTCTCTGTGTCGCAGGTAGTGATGCAGGAAGTGACGATTCTCTCCGGCCAATCAGTGATCAGCAGAGTTTACACGTCACGTTTTGGTAACGGTACGGTTCGCTTGGAACCTCAACCAAGGTGGTACTGAAAAAAGTACCAGGTACTGTACCCAGTGGAAAACCCCCCAAAAGTGAACCGTACCGAACCGTACCATGCAGTGGAAAAGCGCCATTAGTGAGTGTAACCATTTTTACAGCTCCGTGATACAACCCGTCAAAAGGCTTATTTAAACACCGCAGAATAAGCCTTAAAAGTTATCAGAGGTGCAACAGCGTGTTCATATATATGTTTTCGATGGTTTGTGTTTTTAACTCGATGGGAGCGAAATGAAACTGTCTGAACCCGACTGTGTGTGTTGTCTGTCTCCACTCTTCCCCCTCCTCCACTCCGCTGCGCACCACGCCCACTTTTTTAGCATTTTTTTTAAACTGTGGTGAGAACTAACCAGTGCTGAAACAGGGGGTTTCATGACCCTTTAAAGTAGTTTTTTGTTAAAACTTCTGTGAATAATTTGCTGATGCAGTTACAAAAAGACTGCATTTTTCTGCAGACTCATGAGTTAAATGTTGCCCATGATCACAACTATCATAGTAATCATCTTAAAGTTGGCATGGACATAAAATTCACCCTATCTATTCTCTGTTACAGATCTTATTGTGAATGATTCCACCCATGCATGTTTAATTTTTTTTAACTGCAAAATATTTAATCAAAATGTTAACTGGATCTTTCAGTGAAATGAAAGACTTCTCTCTAGTGACGTATGCTAGACGTCTCCAATCATTTAGACCTCTTAAAATGCCCCTATTATGGATTTTTGAAAATAACCTTTCATGCAGTGTGTAACACAGCTCTAAGTGAATGAAAACATCCTGCAAAGTTTTAAATCTGAAAGTGCACCGTGTATAAAGTTATTGTCTCTCAAAAGAAAGAGTCAACTCTGAATCATTGAAACGAGTCGTTTTTAAAACGAATCCCAAGCCGTTTCATGTTGACGTCAACATGAAACATTAGCATATTGTCCGCCCACTTGTTGGTCTTTTCGCGTTGGTCTGCATGAAAATGCAAATTCATTCTTTGCCACTAGGTTCCGCTTCTGGAGCGGTAAAAATAGCGGTTTCCCTGGTAACACTGTACACAAAGCAGCACTGCGCTCACAAACGCTGCTTTATCAGGCATTACAGGCTCATGATGAAATGAAAATGAGACCAATCTGACCAATCACCGCAGACTAGCATCACGCAAAGGAGGGGTTTGGAAAAATGAATGGTTGAGCGAATAGTTTGGGAGTCGTTGAGCAAATAAGGTAAAAAATAATGCATATTATAAGAGAATGAATGTGTTTTTTGACCTTGCATGCATGTCAACCTGTTGTTGGGGACTCCCAAAACCAAAATATGAACCTTTTATAACCCATAATAGGGGCACTTTAAACTCCATCGCTGCAAGCTTATGTTCACATCTCAAAACAACAAACTGATGCATTAAACAAAGTCCCAGCCCTACATCTTTCCCTTTTTCAATAGTCTGTTACACTCGGATGTATGGCGCAATACAAATAAAAAGATCGGTCTTCTTTCTTGTGAAGTTCTTTCACAACTTCTGTTAAATAAAAGACAACAACATGTGGCATAGGGCTGGGCTATATGAGCAAACATCTCGGTATTTTTTGGCTGATTTGAGGTATACGGTATGTATCTCGGTATTTTGTATTTGGATTAAACAAATAAAGTGAATGTAAGCATGTAGGCATATATTATGTGCAAAAAAGGGTTAAAATCACATTACATTCTAACATTGCAAACTAAAAACAAAAATGCTTTTAAAGCAGAAGTTACATTTACTAAACTAAAAATGAAAATAATAAAAAAGCACAGACTAATTGAGTAAAAAGGCTATTTTGATTACCCCATTACACTTTACAGTTAGTGCTATCATACAAATACACTTACTTGTAGGTTTAAAGTTCTAAATATGTCACATTTATTGTCCAACTACAAATATTTCAGCAAAATGTATATTTTAGTCAGAGTTATGAGCTCTGTCTGCTCGATATACCGCCCAGCCCTAATGTGCCATATAATTTGACAATTAACCCCATCTTTAGTCCAAGCGTACCTCCTGTTCTCGTGATCCATCAGCCCCTCCTGTGACACTCTGAAGTCCTCCAGCGGAGACTGGTAGCGGGCCTCGATCGAGCCCTCCCGCCCGCGATATCCCAGCGCCTGGCCCGGAGACGAGGGCACGGGGGACATGGAGGACGCGGAGGAGACGGAGCTGGTGTCCCCCATCCGCTCCCGGCCCACCTGCATGGCCATGGCCCCCGCCGCCGAGAACGGACTCAGCATCTCGCCGTTCTCATGCTGCAGAAGAAACCAGCCGGCCATTACGACACAGCATATCAGCCGATGAATAAAGTGTGTTTCTACATGCTGTGACGCCCACCCTTCCTCTGACGATGTCCATGTGCACCAGCAGAGACGCCAACTCCAGATCCTCACTGTAGCTGTTCTTCAGCGGGACCGACCGGTAGCCTACAGACCAACATTAGGACATTATTATTTCTTCATCTCCTCATCCTAAAGACCTTGATTAACTAGTTCAGGTGTGTTTTATTAGGACTAGAGCTAAATGGTGCGCTCAAGTCCTCCTGGGAAGTTCGTATTTACAAGTTGAAAAGTCATAATTACGGCGTCTGGTGCATTCAAGTCACTTTGGTCGGAACAGGATGGCGATTTAACTTTTCTACATAAAGTTCAACGATTTTTTTAACTGTACATCCACAAAATGATGAATAAATAATGTGCATCGTGTTTTTGCTTTTTATGAAGGTGATGTAAACTGAATCATTATATGAAGAGTTAATTGCAAAAACAAATAACTCCGTTTTTTTTTTTTTTTTAAATCATGTTTTTTATTATGTTATCATGTTTTGGTTAGCTGTATTTTTTAGTAATTTTTTACCTAATCAAAATAACCCAGCTGCAGTTTGATTGAAATTAACTGGAATGCACAATGAAAAAAATATGATTATTGAAAACTGTTTAAAAACGGAGTTATCTGTTTTTGCAAATGAACTCTTCATATATTCTATGGTGATTATATAATATAATATTTTGTACATGACAACAATTTTGTTTTTATTAATTTCAACAAATTGACCATCAATACAGATGCTGCATATCTATATATAATAATAGTCTCTGGCTGCGTCCATTGCATCCGACATGTTTACCCCCAACTCTTCCTCATGGCTTACAGAAAATGTTTAATTTCCCACTTGTAAAAACGACTTTATGGGGGTGTTCAACTCGTAAATACGATCTATCCGACATGACTTAAAACGCACCACAACTCTGCAATAGGGCTGCACGATTAATTGAAATTAAATTGCATTCACGATTAGGCAAAAGCTGCTATTTTTACACGCAGCTTGTCAGTGAAGCACAGATCTGTGATCAGTAGTAAATACTGCTCCATCCGAAGGCCAGAGGGCATGAATAAACAGAAGATTGAACTGCTTTTATTGATTCAACGTGACTAATACACACAGGACTACGACAATATATGGTTTATCCGAGTTCTTCTTCTTATAATTTTCATTATAATGAAGTATATTTATAATGCAATGCTAATCGACATAGCCTTTATCACTGCTTAAAATACTATGAAATATGTTGCGTGCCTTATTCTGTGTAAGAAGCCACATCATCTCACAGAAGGATTTTATTTCTCGACTGATGTTATGAAGTGAGTTTGGAGTAAAAACATGTTATTAAATGTGGTATTTTGTTGGCCAAGAGGTTCATAAAAGTTTGGGAAGATGTTTGACGCGTTGCTTTTTCAAATGCAAGGTTTAAGCGACTCAAACTCGCCGTGCTTTCAGATGGAGCAGCATTTACTACTGATCACAGAGCCGCTGCGCATAACAGCTTTTATAATCGCAGACCATTTTCATAATCGCGCTAAACCAGACGATTTAATAGGCGGACAGTAGTGAACTATTTTTAATTTACTCAAGTAAATTTAAAAAGTATCTGTAGTTTATCAGAGTGTTTTTCTTTGGAAAACTTTACTTCACTACATTCCAAAGCATAGTGTCATACTTTTTACTGCACTACATTTCATAAATAAAAGTTTTTGTTTGTTTTACCTTTAATACTTAAGAACATTAAAAATGTAGTACTTTCTTGTACTCAAGTAAATCTTTGAATTACTTTTACTTGAGTAAAAGTAAGAAAGTAATAGATTTCTAATCTAATTAAGTTTTAAATGTAGCGCTGTCAAACGATTAATCGCGATTAATCGCTTCCAAAATAAAAGTTTTTGTTTACATAATATATGTGTGTGTACTGTGTATATTTATTATGTATATATAAATACAAACACATGTATGTATATATTTCAGAAAAATATGTTATGTTTATATATTAAATATATTTATATATAATATAAAATTGAATAATATAAATATATAAATGTATATACTTGTAAATATTTTCAAAATATATTCTGTATGGGTGAGTATTTATATATATACATAATAAATAAACACTGTGCACATACATATATTATGTAAACAAAAAAATTTTTATTTTGGGTGCGGTTAATCGTTTGACAGCACTAATTAAATGATATTTAATATGAAACGTAGTGCAGTTAAAAGTACAATATTATACTTTGGAATGTTGTGAAGTAAAGTTTTCTAAAGAAAAACACTGATAAAGTACAGACAATTGAAAAGTACTTTTAAAGCAGAGTAAAAAATACTACTGTCCGCCTCTATTTTATATCGACCCGGTTTTGATAAGATAGTGGCCCTCCAGGAGCAGCACCCCAATTTATTTAGAGCACAAAAGTGGTCATTCTTTTGCGAGCCGTACCTGTTTTGAGGCAGTTGATGGGGAACGTTGCCTGGGCGAGAAAGTTCTGGTCGTTGAACATGTCGATTTCATAGACCACGAAGCGCAGGAAGGCAAAGGAAGGATTGCACACAGTGAATCGGAAGGGTTTTCTGGGCCAGGTGGGTTTCAGACCGTTGTCCGCTGAGAGTAAAGCAGGTAAATCTTTTAGTGATCCCACATACCCCCTACAATGTTTGTTCTTATGTGTTGTTGTTGTAAACGATTTGCATCTGCACCTCACCTTCAGAGTCAGTCCTCTGCTTGGCGTTGTCATATTCTGCTCCACAAACTTCGATCTCGATGAGAGGGCAAACGATACCTCGACCGTGTTTGGGCAGGTGGCGCGCTCCCAAAACCTTAAATCACACCAACGTTCAGTTTCCTTCATTAGCAACTATTTGGTCACCCTCACATGATCAGTATTGGCTGATCACCTGTTTCCACTCGGGAGAACAAAAGCACAGACCAAACCCTGTACATGTCTTTTACTGTGTGTTTGGCTTCTGGTTGCTAAAGCATATTGCAGAATCTTTTTAGAATTTTTAGTCATTTGAATCTTTAGTGATTTTTTAGGAATCAAAATTACAAAAGACGACATCAAAGTGAATTTGTGTATTCACACCAGGAAAGTCCGCTAGTTCGCTTGCTTTGGTCCGGACCAAATACAATGTTGATTTTTTTTTTTTTGGTGTGGTTCGCTTTCACACTGCCCTTTTTGTAAACTTTGTAAACAAAACCTCACGTGTGTTAAGGTCATCCATTCATTGGACAGAAATTCTCAGGCAGGGAAAAACAGGAAGTGCAAAAACAGGCTAACCATGGAGATCTTTCGTAGTGCAATTTTTATTCTTTTACTGATTTGGTGTTATCAGATACTAATGCAATATGAAGAAACTTATGAGCATCATATGAGACAATGTCATACGATGTTGTAATTACGACTTGCCGAAAATAAAATATACAGATATAAAATACTTAAAGCATATCACAATGTTAGTTTAAACATTTAACCTATATAAATATGCGCTATTAGGCGCATATCCAATCGTTTGTGCGGAGAGTGGAAGCTGA